GTCAATAACAATTTTATGAATAGTTTTATTAAAATCTTTTGGGACTGTATGACTCAAACTTTTCCAAATATCCTTCCTGAGCTTTATTCTTCCATAAAGTTATTTAATTTTGTCATCCCACCAGTTTATCCGTTGAGTTACTTTCTTTCTGCCCTTGCATACTTGAATTTATGTTATTAAAAATAACAAAAATGTCTGATAGGTAAGATAGTTTAGCACACCATATTTTATCTTCCAACAAATGAACAAAATCATAATTTTTATTTTGTTCAAAAAACATTTTCATTTCATCTTTTAATTCAAGTACACAAGATAAAACTTTTCCTCTGGACATCCACGTATGCAGTAACAAGGATTCGTACTTAGCTTCCATAGCTTGGCATAAATTACTACATAAGAGACTATTTAATGGTCTTGATTTTATATAATTAACCATTTTAACTATTCCAGAACTATTTTCAACTATTATGTAACGAATATTATTAAACGAAGCGGTGAAAGTGAAAAATCTTCGTTCATATATATATATCTGTACTTTTCTTTAATTTAAACTTTACTCATAATAAAAAAAAGCAATATAATTTTTATTGTATCATTTCTAACGTTTGGCGGCACACAAAAGTGCCGCGGCACAGTGGTTGAGAATCACTTGTTTATCCGGCCTTGTTAAAATGTCTTACCTAACTTGTTTATTTTTCATGCATATTTCTAAGTATGTCCTAATGAGTGTTGTGTGTTTTTTTTTGTTGCAGGATTACGATGCTCAAGATCTAGAAGAATTTCAAGAGGCGATTCTTAGGGGATGCGACTTCAACAAAGATGGAAAAATAAACAAGAAAGAACTTACCATGATCCTCTTGGCGCTCGCCAAACACTCACAAGAGGAATAAATTCCCTCCCTTCTCTCTCTCTCTCTATCTCTCTCTATGTTGTGTGTCGATATACAGGTGCTTTCAATAATTCAACCCCACCTAGTGTTTGTAAAGAAAACATTATTAGGAAAAAGGCCATCCCTCGCCACTGCAGCATATCATGTCATTTAAAATATCCTACTACGTCAATCTTTATTCTCAGGACTTTTAAAAGATATATACATATATAAATGGAATCTTTTGTGATTTTAGAAAGAGCGAAAAAAAGAGATCATTTTACTTGGTTTTGTTTGTGTTGCGCACCATCGCACAGTGGGTCAGCATCCAAGGTTTCGTGGCCAGAATTAGTATTTCGATGAAATTTGTTTCAAAATTTGGGGATTTTTATGTGCAGGTAAATTGAATTCATAGTTGAAATTTTGAAATACACTAAAAATACCCAAAAAAAAAAAAACAAAATGGCGGCTGAAATAGGGCGAGCAAAAATAAAAATAATAATGTAATGCGTTTAAATAATTAAATATAGCAATGGAAATATAACAATTTTCGTCATTTTATATTGAAAATGAAAAGCAAATTATATTTCCGAAGTAATATTTCAAAATAAAGCGAATTAATTACAAAACAACGCAAAAACGTGAAAAAAAAACATGATTTTTGTTTTTCGGTACATTTAGTTCACCTGTGCAATACGGGCAAAATGGGGCAAGTTTTTTCGAAAGAAGAAACATAAAAGAAGACAGCAAAAAGAAAGTTTAGCTAATTACCTCGAGGAACTTTTTGGAATTAAGTTTCGAAAGTGATTCAAGCATTGTAAAATGCCTAATGATAAGATATAAACTATAAGTTTGTCAAGAGTATTAACTCATCCCACACATTGAAAAATTGTACTATCATTTCAGACTCATTACTCTGATATAAATGTAACAGTAAGGTGAAATTCCTCTACATATTTCTGAAATAAAAATGTAAAAGTTACGTGTAAAAAAAAATTTTTTTTTTAAACATATTTTTCATTACATTGTACTGTTGTCGGTCCAAAAAAGTAAATTTAAATGTTTGGAATGATCATGAATACTTAATTTGGGCTATATTAAAACTGTCTACCCATATTTTAGTTGAAAAATTAGTTTCCTACTTTTGGCCAAAGATCATAGTCTTCTGGCCCACAGTGCGTTGCCATCACTGCCGATTTGGTAGCGAGCACTTCATCGTGGAAGCAATACTTGACCTGCGATCAGTCCAATGCAGGAAGACTGGAGGCCTTAGAGATTATTTTAAGCCCTCTCAAGAATGCAAACTTGTTAACAAGGACTTTAGTGAGTTACATATCCAAGATTCAATCAAGTGAACCACCTCTCCAATAACAGCATCAAAACAAGAAAAGCACTCGAATGAAAAGTTTTCACACAGAAGATTTTGTGAAGGATTATTTTTCCCTTCTCTTTCTTGGTCTTTGACAAAGGATGAGTTCCAAAACATGAAATTCTTTTGCTTACTCCTAATTCCTTTGTGGATGGTTGACTGAACAAAAACAAGCTTCCTAAAACCGGAAGAAATTAAGAAAACTTCCGGTGTATTACTCCGCTTACGAGGCGATGTGCGAACATTCTTAATATTCCAGGAAGTTTTTATAATGTGCTTTGTGTTTAAACGTGCTTGTCATTTTAAAATTCGTAAGAGTTTTCTGAAACTTTTAAATTCTATCAGGTCATAAGCCTAAAAAAATGAAAGAAAATTAATATATATACATATATTTCCAATGACCACCTGGATAATGACCTAGGTCAGTGTTCCCCAAACTTATGACTTTAGTGTAAACTTTCTAAATTTTTCGTAACGCTGTGTGCCACTAATGGAAAAAATGAATGTATTTTTTACTATAAAAAAATTGCACAGAAGTTAAAAATCATAACTGGCTGTTGACACCACTCATTATTAACTGTTAACTCTGCAAAAAATAGCCAATTGAAAAATACGTTATCGAACTTTTTTGNTATATATATATATATATATATTTCCAATGCCCACCTGGATAATGACCTAGGTCAGTGTTTCCCAAACTTATGACTTTTGTGTAAACTTTCTAAATTTTTCGTAACGCTGTGTACCACTAATGAAAAAATGAATGTATTTTTTACTATAAAAAAATTGCACAACAGTTAAAAATCACAACTGGCTGTTGACACCACTCATTATTAACTGTTAACTCTGCAAAAAATAGCCAATTGAAAAATACGTTATCGTAAATTTTTCATGGCTAGCTTTTTTTGAAATAAACTTTTTTGAAATTTTTGCTTGTTGCATGATATTTCGCATAAGATCGTGTACTCCTGCTAAACCGTTCCCGTACCCCTGGGGGTACGCGTACCACACTTTGGGAAACACTGACCTAGGTCATACAGGCATCTCTGAAGGGCATATTTGTTGGCCACTCTTTCAGGGGCACCCTATTAGGTGGGCCAACGTTGCTCCTACAGTAAAGACAGATAGTACTGAGAAGGAAAGAACATCCTTGCCTTGCCCGGGGTTCGAACCCAGAACCATTTTGATGCAGGGGCAGTTCCCTAACCCCTACACTGGACGGTCGGCAAGAAAATTGATATCAATACATAAATAAAGTGCAAAGTTTGCCTTGTTTTGCCCATCTTAGGGTAAAATATCGCCGTTTGTTATTTTTTGTTCAGCATTCTAGCATGCTTGTAGGAATCTTCTAAATTAATTTGCTGTTTATTTAGTTGAAATGGAATAAACGCATTATATTGTAAACACCAGGACCGGATTACGCGTATTCAAATTTTTTGGGGCTCTTCGATTAAGTTGTTTTTCTCGCATATTTTTTTATTTATTCAAATATAAAAGTATTTATGTATCTTTTCATTTTCGAAAGCATATTTGAAATAAAAATTAAATAATAATAAAATGAATTTTACTTTATTTTGTTAAATTAGAACTTAATAATCGTAGCATTTTGAAATTTTAATATATATTTGAAATTGATTTTTTTTTTAAAAAAATCATTGTTTTTCTTAATTTTTTAAAAATTAATTTTCAAAAAATTCATTTTAAGGGGGTCCCTAATTATCGGGGGCCTAATGTTTAATCTAGCACTGATAAACACTACAAGTATAATAATATGGAAGGGCGCGCTTTTTCAAACTTAGGCAAAAAAAAATCAGTCGGAAGTAGTAACCCGGAAGTCTTACGACGAATTTTATCCCCTAGCGCCATCTGTGCTTCGCTTTAAACAGTCAACCATCCATAAAAAGTTAACAATCGTTTGACAACTGAGTTTTCGAACGATCCAGTTCATATCATTATTCTTCATTTATACCAGTGACATATCATTATTCTTTATTTAATAATAATTCTTTTATCAGTATTTTAAATAGTTCAATCACGTTATTCTTTATTTAATAATAATTCTTTTATCAGTATTTTAAATGTTTCAATCATAAAAAAAAAAAAAACAAGAACCAGAAAAATCTTAAGTAGCAATAAAATACAATTAATGAAACTTGGGAAATATTCCTTGTGGATCTGGTTTGATCAATCTGATATGTACAGCTATTCTCAATTTCTACTACATTAGAATTTTTATTTTGGTTGAAAAAATTATAATAAAAAATACAGTCCTCTGCAGCGTAGATGAATACTTAGTATGAAAATGAAAATTTGTTTTTAAAATACTTGAATTCAACACGAAATCTTCCAATTTTGCAGACAGCAAATTACATGTTCCTTCTATTACATGTTCTGTTACAAAATAATTATATAGTATTTTTTTGCAACACTGAGCTTTTGTTATTTTTTTTATTAGTAACATATATGTTAGTTACTCTTTTGCACTAGAGAGTTCTGTCGCAAATAGCTCGAAAAAATTCTGCTACAGGGCAACAAAATGTTTTCATTTATTTTGAATGTTAGACGCATCTTACTGAAGAAAAGACGACGAAATTCCACAAGTTTTCAGAAAAAAAAAGAAAAGGATCTAATTCTTTATTTTTTCTTCCATTTGTGTATGAAAAAAAAAAAAAAAAAAACAAGAATGAAAGTGTTGCCTATTCAGCCATTCTATTTCTTTTGCAAACGATTTAAAGAACCTTGCAAACAATAATTTCCCAACAACTATAAAACGGGAAATGCTGGATAAAACTGCTTCTTCACTCTTTGATTTTAAAAGCGGATTCGAATATCGGCACAGTGGGCCAGCTTCCGAGGTTTCGTGGCCAAAATTAGTTTTTGTTAAAATTTGTTTCAAAATTTGGGGTTTTCTTATTTAAGGGTTTTCATGTTCAGGTAAATTGAATTCATAGTTGAAATACACTAAAAATACCCAAAAGAAAACAAAATGGCGGCTGAAATATGGCGAGCAAAAATAAAAAAAATAATGTAGTGCGTTTAAATATTTAAATATATAGCAATGAAAATATAAAGATTTTCGTAATTTTATATTAAAAATGAAAAGCAAATTATATTTCCGAAGTAATATTCTGAAAATANTTTTCGAAAGAAGAAACATCAACGAAGACAACAAAAAAAAGTTTAGCTAATTATCTCGTGGAACTTTTTGGAACTAAGTTTCGAAAGTGATTCAAACATTGTAAAATGTCAAATGATAAGATATAAACTGTAAGTTTGTCAAGCGTATTAACTAATCCAACACATTGAAAAATTGTGCTATCATTTCAGACTCATTACTCTGATAAAAATGTAACAGTAAGGTGAAATTTCTATATATATTTCTGAAATAAAGATTTAAAAGTTACATTTAAAAAATATATAAATTTTTCATTACATTGTACTCTCATCGGTCCTACAAGTAAATTATAATGTTTGAAATGATTATGAATACTTAATTTAGGCTACATTAAAACTGCCTACACATATTTTAGTTGAAAATTTAATTTTTGACTTTTGGCCAAAGATCATGGTCTTCTGGCCCACCAGTGCTCGGTAAAGACTAAAAACACTTATTTTATTCTCTAATGAATCAATTGCATGAATCAAAATGCTGCGTTTGACGAGATCTGCGTCTTCAACCACGCAATGACTTAATTTTGTTCACTCAGAGCATTTCCAGAAAATACGAAAAGAATTGACTAAATTGAATTGTCAAGATTTGTCTACGAATTCATTGTCTAAAATTTTTTTAGATTAATAATTTGTCTAGTAAAGTTAACTTTTATGATTTCGCTTAATATAGCAGAGAACTAAGTGCTTAATCGTATTCAACGCACATTCATTAACATATCAAGCAATTCATCTTGCATTTGAAACAGGGGAGCTTCTTTCTTTCGCCAGTTCGAGTCAAAACCTGTCTTTCCCCCTACTCAAAGTAATTAAACCTTAGTGGCCGCCACCACTCCAGGCTAGGGGAATTCTTTACATAGACAAAGCATACGCAGGGTTGCCACAGGCGACTAAAATGCAACTATTTTCAGCATGAGTCGACTATGATAACTTATTTTTGCCTGAAAAGACTAAAAAAGCAACTATTTTCAGGAAAAGGAGACTTTTCTGTACTCCTAGCAATGTTTTTTTAGCATAATTGGGTTGAAAACCCGCGAAATCTTCTGAAGACACTGAATCTCTTTTCTTAGGAAATGTAAAATAAAATTTTAAAAAATTAAATAAATAATTAAAAAATAAAAGGTTTTAGATTGCAAATTTGAGTCATCACTTTTTGAAGCGTTCAATTTGCATAGATTCTAAGTCTATTTCATTTCTCGATCGACTTTTGAACGGTTATTGCTAAGAAATTCTGCATGATGCATTAATTTTGAATTTGAGTAATCACTTTTCACAATATATATATATTTGCTATTTCAATTATTGAGGAAAGGGAAAATTTCTTAGAAAAAGTGTTTTTTGGATGAATTCTAGTAATTAAAAGTATTTAATTTTCTGCAAATATACTAATTTTTTATACAAAAATTTAGTGCTAGAACACTAACGTTTACATAAAAATTATCATA